CCTTCTGGGCTCAAGTGATCCTCCCACCTCAGCCTCCTGAGTAGCTGGGACCACCAGCTACTGTAGGTGTGTGCTACCACATCCAGCTAATTTTATTTATTCATTTAACTTTATTTATTTTTAAACTTTTTAAACTTTTAATTTTTTAAATTTTTTATTTAATTTTATTTTTAATTTTTAAACTTTTAAAATTCTTTTTGCGAAAGTAGGGTCTCCCTGTGTTGTCCAGGTTGGTCTCAAACTCCTGGGGTCAAACAATCCTGTGCCTCAGCCTCCCAAAGGGCTGGGATTATAGGCATGAGGCACAACTCCTGGCCTGGCCAAAGACTTCTCTGTGTAAGACCGCAAAAACACTGACAACCAAAGCAAATGTAGACAAATTAGATTATATCAAGCTAAAAAGCTTCTTCACGGCAGAGTGAATCATCAAGAAAGTGAAGGGACAGCCCACAGAACAGGAGAAAATGTTTGCAAACTATCCATCTGACAAGGGATTAATAACCAGAATACATAAGGAGCTCAAACAACTCAATAAAAGAAAAATAATTCCATTTAAAAATGGGCAAAATAGACATTTCTCAAAAGAAGGCATACTAATGGCCAACAGTTAAATTAAAAAAATGTTCAACATCACTAATCATCATAGAAATGCAATTCAAAACCACAATGAGGTATCATCCTACCCCAGTCAAAATGGCTTAAAAATTTTTTTAAAGTATTATTATAATAGAGACGAAGTCTCACTATGTTGCCTAGGCTGGTTTTGAACTCCTGAGCAGCTCAAGGGATCCTCCCACCTCAGCCACCCAGAATGCTAGGATTACAGGCATGAGTCACCATGGGCAGCCTAAAATGGTTTTTATTAAAAAGATAGGGAATAATGGATGGTGGCAAGGATGTGGAGAAAGGGGAACCCTGCTACACTGTTGGTGGGAATGTAAATTAGTACAGTCACTATGGAATACAGTATGGAGGTTCCTCAGAAAACTTAAAATAGAACTACTAGATGATCTAGCAATTCTACTACTAGATATATATCCAAAAGGGAAATCAATATATTGAAGAGCTATCTGACCTCACATGTTTATTACAGCAGTAGTCATAATAGCTAAATTATGGAATCAACCATCAATGGATGAATGGATAAAGAAAATGTGGTCTATATACACAGAGGAATTTAGCCATAGAGAAAAGAATATCGGGCCTGGCATGTTGGCTCACGTCAAATCTCAACACTTTGGGAGGCCAAGGCAGGAGGACTGCTTGAGGCCTCCCTATTTCAAGACTATATGGAATAAAAATTTGAGTTTGCTATATTTTTATTTTTATTATAATTTCTAATAAAGTTGTTTTTCCGCTATCCCTTTATTGCTGCTTCTCAGGACTATTCATAAAATGACCAAAAATATAAAAAATAAAATGATAGTAAATGACAATGACTATTTTTCTTGATAATACTAAATGTTAAAATCAACACGTTATTCCTTTTAGCAGCAACACAAGACAAGGTGATAGTTGCAAGAGGCTCCAGAGATCATTTAAATTATTTATGGGTAATTGGAACATATACTTGCTAGTACACACTAGCAAGAAAAGAATTGTAAACTGGCTGTTATGTTATTGTACCTTAAAAATGTATGTGGGTGAATTTTCTTTTAAGAAAACCGTTAAACTAAAGAAAAACTATGTAACACACCTAGAATGTAATCTATCTGGCTCTGACAGATTCTCAAACGTTTAATCATTTAAAATAATTTGGGATAATAGTGTTTTGGAAATTTTTTTTTTTTTTTTTGAGACAGGGTCTCACTTTGTCACCTATACTGGAGTACACTAGCACGATCACAGCTCACTATAGCCTCAAACCTCTGGGGTCAAGCTAGCCTGTCGCCTCAGCACCCCGAGCAGCTAGGACTACAGGTATGTACCATTATGCCTGAGTGACAATCTAAAATCAATTCTATACGTATTAAAAGTTATGTATTACAAGCGTCTAAGGTCCAAAGTCTGGACTAGACTATTCACTAGCGATGATCTGGGCAATTTACTTAACTTCTTTGAATGTTAATTTCCTCATGTGTAAAATAAGAATAATGTCTACCTTGCAGGATTTTTGTGAAGAGTGAATAAATCAAATGAACCTAAAACAATGTTTGACATTTTGTAGGCCTTTAGCAAATGACACTTGCTACTTACAAAAAGCTATGATGTTATTTGATTCTTTGGTCTCTGACTGATTTTAATCACGTTAGTGATTTTTTTCTTGGGCCCTGTTAATGGCAGTTCCTACAACTTTCCTTCAATTATCAACCAGGCTAAACTTATTTCATTCATCGGTTATTATTTACTGAAAACCTCCTACGTCACAGGCAATTTAAAATCTTTATTCGCTTTCTACACATAATTATTGTCAGAATACCTAGACAGTAAAATGCTAGAAAACAATGACTCTACAGAAGTGGTTTATATTTTACTTTTATAGTATCTCAGATGATCATATAGCAAGATCTTAATAAAGATCTTAAACAGGGATAAACTATATTTTCATAAGCTATCACCATAGCAACATGTATGCTCTATAGAAATATTTTTTCAACTTATTTGACTAAGAAGAAAAGGATTTGAAATTATAGAAGTGAAACAATAAAAGGGTTAGAAGAAAACAGGAAGCAAAACACGTTTACAAAATAACTATCATGAGGATTCTACTGATACATAAGATACCACCACACTGCTTTATATAGTATGCCTTTAAAATATTAATAAAATAATTTCTCAATCTAACAGGAAAAGCAATTCAAAAGCTAAGCAAAATAAAAACGAAAGAAAGAACATGTGTACATGCCAAGAGTGGGCACTAATACTGTTCATCAGTGTACTGTACTGTGTGATTTTTAGACTAAAAGGTTTTTCAATGTTATAGTGAAGCCTATGAAATACCAACTACCCTAACAAGTTTTTATCCCATAAACCAAACAGATATGAGTAAAAGATAAGGGAATATATTTTCAATTTCATTGAATAGTAAGAATATTTCTCCTTGAAACATTCTTAGCCTGGCTCTCATTTGTATAACAGGAAACAGAATAAAAAGGGTGGCCTACACACCCTTTGAAATTCCATTTCTGAAATCACTGTCTTATTCTCGAATGTTAGAACTTTTTGTGGGATCTGACATATTCTCAAGTAGCTGTGAAGTGCATTAAGGTATCAATGAGTACCCCCATCTACCTCTTCCCTCCCACTTTTCCAAAAATACAGCTGTCTTTGGAAACTTAAATGGTAAAAATCAACAGATAAAGGAGTCTTAGACAGATATGCTAAGTCACCTTAAGGATCAAAGCTGCAGAATAAGACATGGCAGTATGAGCATAATACAGTAATAATTGACATTAGTAAAAGAATTCATCAATATAAATGGAGTGTGGATGGTCAGAAAAAGAAGAAAGTAAAAGAAAGCAAGATACATATTGGCAATGCCTACTTAAATATCCACTGCCACGATAGAGATAACCTAGCTTCATGCTACCAACCATTTAGAATCGTAATTAATCCCCCATTGAGGAAGTAAAAAGTAGGAGACTGGGATATGGGAAAAGGTCATCAAGCCTAGATTTGAAACCAGGATATAAAGAGCTGGAATTACAGGCACCCGCCACCCTGCTCGGCTAATTTTTGTATTTTTAGTAGAGACGGGGTGGTCTCAAACTCCCGGTCTCAGGTGATCCGCCCAACTCGGCCTCCCAAAGTGCTGGGATTACAGGCGTGAGCCACCGCACTCGGCTAGCGTTTTCCCTTAGACTCGAAATTTCGCTCCTTTCGTCCCATCCTTGTAGTAAAAAAGGTATTCTTTCTAAGGCTTAATAACAAATTTTACTCTTGGCAATTATCAGGAACTCGACTATATTAAAATAGCTAACGAGAGGAAATTACTGAAGCTACAAAGTCAAAGGTCTCACCATCAAAGTTATCCTTGACAACTGACAAGAGCTGTTAGATCTTCTTTTGGTCTTTCTGCTAATTCAACCCTAGTCTTAAAAATAGCCACCTATTGCCTAATCCCCTGTATACACAAAACCATTGCACTTCGGTATTTCTAATATGAGAAAGTTTCTATATATCCAAACTTTCCTATCTTTGAGGGGCAGGCATGGTTAACGTGGTTCTCAGTAAGATATTCATTTACAACTAAGAGAAAATCCCAGGCTATCATCTGACATTCTTGTTTTACTTTAAAAACCTTTCTAACGTTATTTATTCTCTGACAACCTCAAAATTACTTTCCACAAAGAAAATTCTAGAAATCTAAAAATGCGAAGTGCGTGCTTGTCAGAAGGTACTAAGGAAATTCTTCCTTTAAACGTCAAATGTGAATTCTAACTTCTAATGGATAAGACCCTCGAGATTTACAGCGGTGGTCTGGTGGAAAGAAAACCCCCTTGGCACTAGGAGCTCACAAAACCCCATCCCGTGGTTGAGGCGGAAGCGGCTACGCGCTCCCGGGCTTTCGACAAGCAGCCCTGCAACGCAGGCCCGTCATCTTCAGCAGAAAGCTCTCTCACGTCCTGGCCCGCAAGCCCGGAGGGTTCGTCATAAACACACAAGGCAAGGATAGAAGCGAGGCCAAGAGGCAGGTCACGCAACTGTCAAACGAAGCCCACCCACCGACTGACAAGTCCCCAAGGCGACAAGCGATCCCCGCGCGGGATACTCACCCGTTACCTCAGGATCGCGACTACAACTCCCAGGAGGCTGGGCGAGCGACGAACCAACGCCCTTCCCAGAATGCAGCACAGCGGCATCCCTATCCCGCCCTCTCCTTACTGCGCTCCTCCTACTTTTCTACCCTTCGTCATCCGGGAGAGCCGGAGGTAGGGTGCGGGAGGAGGATCCCGCACGCTTGGCGTGTCGCGTCAGACGCCGGGAGGGGGACGGGGCGGGGAGTAGGAGGGGAGAATGGGAGGACGAAGGGGAGGGGAAAGGACAGGGGAGGGGAGGGTAAATAGTGGGCCAGGCAGCAAGATGGCGGCGGTAGCGGAGGTGTGAGTGGACTCGGGTCTCAGCGGCCGGATTTTCTCTTCCCTTCTTCTCCCTTTTCCTTCGCTATTTGAAATTGGCATCGAGGGGGCTAAGTTCGGGTGGCAGCACCGGGCGCAACGCAGGGGTCCCGGCGACGGCGGCGGCGGCTGACGGCTGGAAGGGTAGGCTTCCTTCACCGCTCGTCCTCCTTCCCCGCTCCGCTCGGTGTCAGGCGCGGCGGCGGCGCGGCGAGCGGACTTCGTCCCTCCTCCTGCTCCCCCCCACAGCGGAGCTGGCACTCTTCGCTTCGCCATCCCCCGACCCTTCACCCCGAGGACTGGGCGCCTCCTCCGGCGCAGTTGAGGGAGCGGGGGCCGGTCTCCTGCTCGGCTGTCGCGCCTCCATGTCGGATAATCAGAGCTGGAACTCGTCGGGCTCGGAGGAGGATCCAGAGACGGAATCTGGGCCGCCTGTGGAGCGCTGCGGGGTCCTCAGTAAGGTGAGCAACCGGTGATGCCAGGGGACCCCTGGCCAGACTCACCTGCCGCGAGGCAATCCGCTGAGGCGGTGGGGTGGGGCTGGCGGGAGGCGCGGAACGTGCCGGGGTGCGAGGCTGAGTACTGCTGCGGCGACTAGGGATGAGGCGGGGATATAGGGGGCCTGTCCTTGCTGCCCGAGGGCTCGTCGGGGGCAGCCGAGGACCAGGGAAAGGGTGTATCAACCCGGGATCTAGTTTGGGAGACCAGATGCGTGCCGTGCCTTGGGACCTAGGGCGGCAGCTGTCCCGGGTGTAAGGAATCCGGGTTGGGCTTCAGCGGTGTCCGAACGATTGGGCACGGGAGCGGTTCAAGTCGGACCTCTTAAAAGAGGTTGGTCTGTCTGAGGATGCCAAGCCGAGTAGGTTGGGGGGCACTGCGGACGCAACTGTTTCGACAGAAGCCGGAGCGACTCGGCTTGGTGTTGAAATTTGAGGTGTTGAACTCGCCAGGTTAGATGTAGTGAGACAGATTAATGTGGAGGACTTTCTCCCTCACCCTGTACCTTAGTTCAGAATAGAGATATTGAATCGGCACGTGATGGGTACAGGAAATATTCATAGTAACTTGAAACATGTGAGAAAGGAGACTGATCTTTAGTCCAGGAAGAAGAGCATTATTTAATAATAAACTCTTTTTGCGGTAAGGGGTCCAGGGTAAGGAAAAGATGTTTTACCTTTTATGTATTTTTTAAAATCCGTGTATCAAAATTGTAGGAAAGCAGCCATTATAGAACTGCAGATGGGTGATCTCTTGATATTACATGGTTGGGATTTTTTTTTTTTTTTAAGTTTTTGCTATAAGAAGATTCACATAGCCTTTTGGACTTCTCTCCCCCTTCCTGTTAAACTTTTTTAGAAATGGCTGGAGATAGCAGTTAACTTGGAGGGGGGGAGCTGGGCCAGTCCCTCAACAAGCTGGTCATAAGATACTATGTCATGTGCAGCTACTGGCTATTAAGAAATCACCCTGTTTCCAGTATTCATACTTTGGCACATCACTTGGACATTATTTGTGGAATTGTTTAATATAATGCTTTTATAATGTCTGTAAAAAGCTAATGAGAAGGGAACCAGAAAAGGCATGAGTAGTCAGAACTAAGGATTGCAAGTGTTGACTTTTATTTGTATAGCCGAAAAATTAGTTGTATATTGATGCTGTGATCATTCTTGAAATTTCAATGCAAGGTTTTCAGTAACGAGAAGCTCCTCAGGATTTCTTTACATTAAATGTATCCTGTAATTTAGGAATCTCTATTGAACACATTGTGTAGTAGGTACACATTTTCAGTTGATAATAGGAAGTGGGTTACTTGCTTCTCAGTGATTTTGATAGTTTCATCACTGCTCATAAGATGGGAAGCTGACTGCCATATTAGTATTGTGATGTGTTGAGTATTTTACAAAACAAATTGTAATTTTGACCTACTGATAATTACTTTTTTGGGGGTTGGGGGAATGGAGTGACTGGGGGAAAATGTCACCAGTGCTCTGAGTTTTACTTTATGTGGAGTAGGTATACTATAGATCAAAAAATGGAAGACCAATCTCGATATTTAAATGCATACAAATGCATTTGATCACCTCTGTGGAAGGTGAATAACTTAAATTTTGACTGTTGCTTCTTATGTAGAATGAATAGGACTAAAGCTTTTGGTATTCTTGCTAATAGCTATGAGGGAAATTTTCCTGGGATTTGCCAATTTATGGTTATATACAGTGTTTTCTGGAAACTTTTTAATCAAGGGTATTCTAAATTGAATATATATACTCATACTGAGTATGGTACATGTTTTTAAATGTAAATTATATATTTTGAATTCTTCATATTCACCTGATAATTTAAACAAGGATCAGAACTTGGCTTTTGTTCTTTTCCTTCCATTGAGTAATGTAAATAAGTCCCGGTACAATTTGTTTCGTTTGTCCCCCAAAATGGGGTGGATTTGGAATGGTCTTGGGTAAATTTATATTAGAAATATACCAGTTCAAAGGGTATTTTCCATATGGTAATCTGAAATATATGGAAATACCTATGAAGCATATTTCTTATAAATCACTTAAGTGTATAGATTCCAAAAATACTTGATAGACAATAATTCTATCTGGTTATAACAAGTATCGTGATGGATCATGGTGGGGAAAAGATGCATGCCTTAGTAGGACTTGAGAGCAACTAAGGCTGGATAAAATAATCTCATTCAATTTCTGAATTTCCTCCATCCTTCATGGTTTACCTTCTGTTTTTGCACACACCAAACTGTTTGAAATTCTATCCATCCTTAAGAGTCCAGGTCAAATACTGTCCTTTCTGTAAAGCCTTTTTGTATTTTGCCATCATTCAAGACCTCCTTCACTTGAATTCCCATAGCATTTTGTTTTATTCTAAATATATATTTTTTTCTCTTGTGTTTGTGTTTGCTGGCCTGTTTGCCACAGTAACATTCACTTCTCCTGCAATGTCTAGTATATTGCCTTGTCTGTATTTGTTAAATGGGGAAGAGTGAGGGAACATTATGAGAGCAGAGAAAAGACAAAAAACTTGTCTTCCAGGTGTCATAATAACAGCTAACAGCTTACTGAGAAAAGAGTCCTGAAGCTGATATAGTTTGTTCAGCCTCTTACAAGATCATAATATTGAATTATGGATACATAATTGCTGGGGTCCCTTCTCTAATATTGAAAGAGTTCTGTTCTAGTGAGAAATGCTGAAGGTTAAGCTTCATTAGCCATGTATAACTCTTCCTCAGATTCAGAAAATACTATGTCCAGGCACTGTTCTAAGTCTACTCTTGTTTAAACTTAACTCTGAGAGACAGAGTTTGACAAAGAAAAGAACACAGAGTAAGTAACCTGACCACTGTCACAAAATTTAGCCTTATGAAGTGTGGTAATTATAAATGAGGTAAGATTAATCCATGGTGGGTCTTGAATGCCCTAAACAATTTGTATGACAGTCAGTGGGAAGTTGTCCATGTAAGTTTTGGAGCTGGAGACTCAATACGGTCAACATGTAAGAAAAGTAAGCAAACATGCTTAGTAAGTAAATAAGCTTGTGTAAATTATGAAAAACACAGAAGATACTAGAGAAAAGATTAAGTCCTGTAAGGAATACAGGAACTGGGTAATTTAATTGGAATAGTTGAAAATGAGAAGAGGAGGCAAATTTAAGGGTTTACTATGAAGGAAAGATAAGCAGGTTTTGGTGATGGGCTATAAATATTGAGAAGGAACACTTAGGAGTATCTTCTGTGACTATACTAGGCATTTTCATTATTTTATTCAGCCATCAATCAACAGGCAAAGAAACTGAAGCTTACAAAAGTAACTTGTCAAAACTCTCTTCACGTGAGTTGTAGAGTAGTTGAGCCTGTTTAATCCTGTATACACTAATCTGTTTGTATATCTAATACACAGACTCTGAGCAGAAGTAGCAGGAAAGAAGAAGTAGGAAAATAGGAAGGAAGTACACCTTATAGAAGTAAATTCAGTTTTGTTGGTAACTATCATTTATTTCAAGCCTTTGTCTAAGTGGTGGGACATCACAAGTGGTTAGAAATAAGGAAGTGGTGATTAGGAGCCACTAGAATGAGTTAAATTGTCAGCTTGGATGAGTTCTCAGAGAGGGGTTGTAATGATGGGGCTTAGAAAAATTAAGAACTGGCTAGGGATGGTGGCTCACCTGTAGTCCCAGCACTTTGGGAGACCAAGGAAGACAGATCCTTGAGCCCAGGAGTTTGAAACCAGCCTTGGCACCATAGTGAAACCTCATCACTACAAAAAGTTAGCCAGACATGGGGGCACGCACCTGTAGTCTCAGTCACTTGGGAGGAGGAGGAAGGAAGATTGAGCCCGGGAGGTTGCAGTGAGCTGAGATGGTGCCACTGCACTCCATCCTGAGTGACAGAGTGAGACCCTGTCTCAAAAAAATACAAAATAAAAAAAAATTTAAGAACTGAATAAATCTCAAAAATGCTTAATTAGAGAATAGAAAAAGATTTCTCAGTGGATATAGAGCCTGAGCCAATGCAGTATATTTTGGCAATCCATTTTTAATTAGTTTTTGGAATTGGCAGATAGTTTTGAGATTTTTCTATACTTAAAACCCCAGAGCATAGATAAAAACATGCAAAAATAAGTAGTCCTGTAAAGGTTACATTTCTCCCTTTTCCAGTTTATTGTGATCTTCACTGTGCAGCAAGACTTTAGCAACACAGAAACTCTTTTAAGGTATTGAAGGCAATCCAATATGTTTTTGAAAACCAATTTTATTTTTGTTTTATTACTCTTGAGTTTGAAAAATATATGTTCAGAGAAACTTGGAAAATGAATTGGCCATTTTAAATATTATTCAGTTCTGTAGAGGAGAAGTTAAAGTTGATGCCAACTTACTAAAGATTATTATTTTTATTTTGATATAGTTATGACCATTATAAATTTTCATATGGGAATAACAACAAAAGTAGAGTTTAGTAATAATTGACTTTATACTTCCGTTGATTTAGAAGGCTTCATGCAGTCTTTGGTGTCAGAAAATGAGAGACTCCATACCTAACTGAACATACTTCTCTGTTGAATATGTTAATTATGACAAGGACCAAAACAAGTATCATGAAGGTACTTAGGAGAGGATGAAAGCACATAGAGAACAAACAATAATTTTAACTAAAATCTGGCTTTTGTTTTATTCTTCAAATGTTAGAAGAAAATGGTATATTTTGTTTCTTAACAGTTTATTTATAATATTGTAAAAATTACTGAAAATCATTATGCAATCTAGAAAATCTCAACTTTTCACTTTCTGTAATCATTTTACTGTTTATGCCTAGAATTAAGTTGGACTTTTCACGTTTTGGTTTTAAAATTACATTGCTGTTTCAAAAAGTTTGGATTTCTAAAATACTTCTCTTTTTTGTTTCCTTCTCCCTTCCGTTCCCCTTCCCACTCCCAGTGGACAAACTACATTCATGGGTGGCAGGATCGTTGGGTAGTTTTGAAAAATAATGCTCTGAGTTACTACAAATCTGAAGACGAAACAGAGTATGGCTGCAGGGGATCCATCTGTCTTAGCAAGGCTGTCATCACAGTAAGTTCCTTTTCTTCTTCATTTAACAAATATTTACTGAGTGTCAGCCACGTACCAGGAACTGTTCTACATGTTCAGGATACATCTGTGAATAAGATAAAGATCCTTGCCCTTGTGGAATATACATTTTAATACTTTTTTCCATAAAATTATTTTACTGTGCTTTTTGCTACATATTGTTATTTTGCATAGACAGGTAGTTTTTATCTAGTGGGTATATCAAACCGGTTTAAGGACTTCAGGGAAAAAAAAAGTTTGAAGGCTTTTTATTTGTTGAGGCTGGGACAGTTACTTTGTAGGTTACTGAAAATTTAAAAATAATACATCTTGTAGGTAACGTTCTAAAATTTTAACTTAAAAAATATAAACTTTTTAACATTGAGCTAATGCCGTCTCTTTGTGGAGTTGAGAGAAGCTGTTCTTATATTCCTCACACATGATTTACTATTTGCAGTTTTGATATCTCTAACGTGGAATAAAAGTCTAAAGATAACTTTTGAAAAACCCTAAGTATAGGCTCCTTCTAACTTTTTATAATTTCCCCTTATATTTTGCAGTTATGTCACTTTTATCTAATTCAACACCCTTTGAAAGAATAACTCACCTTTGTTGAGTCATTCTACTTAGTTTACATTTTGTTGTTCTTTTTTTGTTTTTTTGTTTTATTTTTGAGGCAGTCTTGCTCTGTCACCCAGGCTGGAGTGCAGTTCCGTGATCTCAGCTCACTGCAACCTCGACCTCCCAGGTTCAAGCAATTCTTCTGCCTCAGCCTCCCAAGTAGCTGTGTCTATAGCTGCGTGCCACCACGCCTGGCTAATTTTTGTATTTTTAGTAGAAATGGGGTTTCACTGTGTTGGCCAGGCTGGTCTCAAACTCCTGATCTCAAGTGATCCACCCACCTCAGCCTCCCAAAGTGGTGGGATTACAGGTGTGAGCCACCACGCCCGGCCTACTTAATTTACATTTAACTTATTATATAGAAACAACTGTTCCTTTTTGCACTCATAGTCATTAGACATAAATAATGTTTAAGATATGTAAGAACTATAACAAGTAAACGGACATAAACAGATTTGGGAACAACCAATGACTTGTTAAGCTTTTTTTTTTTTTTTTTGAGACGGAGTCTCCCGCTGTGTCACCCAGGCTGGAGTGCAGTGGCACGATCTCAGCTCACTGCAAGCTCCGCCTCCCAGGTTCACGCCATTCTCCTGCCTCAGCCTCCGAGTAGCTGGGACTACAGGCGCCTGCCACCACGCCCAGCTAGTTTTTTGTATTTTTAGTAGAGACGGGGTTTCACCATGTTAGCCAGGATGGTCTTGATCTCCTGACCTCGTGATCCACCCGCCTCGGCCTCCCAAAGTGCTGGGATTACAGGCTTGAGCCACCGCGCCCGGCCTGACTTGTTAAGCTTTTAACCCAACTAGTTAGAAATGCCTGATTATACAAAAAATAGCATACTAGTTAAGAATGGTCAGCATGCCATGGGCAAAAAAAAAAAAAAAAAAGTGTTGGCTAAGGCCCGAAAATTAAATAGAGGTCAGTTAAGGGAGCTATTGTAGTTAAAATCTGAAAATGGGTATGTTAAAACAAAAATACAGATTTTACTAACTCACTCAAAGAGAAGTCACATTTTGTGATAGAATTTATATGGCTTACAAAAGTTAGAGTATATATATATATGTAATACTTCAGATTTCTGTTAATATCTAATCCTAACTTAGCACACGTTTGTTATGCAGTTAGGGAAAATCTTACAGTATTTTTACATTATTTTTTATACATTATTTCCCCCCTTGTATATTCAAAGTTTGAAAACAAAAGTTTAGAATTGAATATCAAATTAGAGAAACACAGAAAAAGTGTTTGGAAGTGTTGATAATGAAACTACTACTCTCTATTCTTAGAGACAATTTTTAGGAAATAGCTTTAACATAAAGGCTCAGTATTTATTTTAATTGGTATGTGGTACATTGTAGTGTGTTTAGAAATTGTATCTAGTTTAATATTTTGGGTGTTTTTCTTCTAAGATAGATCATTATTCATGTCAGGGGACAGAATAGTGGATTGAAATGTACCTTGCGATCTTGAAGTGTTTTTCCTTGATCCTCCACTCCCCTTCTTTTGCGTATTATTGGATGTTTATTAGTTTCAATGCTTAAGTGTTTGAAAGTAGCATAATGATTGATGTAAAAATGGGGAGGAATTAAATTTTATCTTTATTGTTCCCTAAGTAGTAGTATTCATGCTAGTTTCTGTGGATTTAGATACAGTTATTCTGTCTTGAATTATGGACTATAATAATATTGCCTGGCTTATTTCGAGAAAAGAAAATTTTAAATAAACATTTACATCCATCTTCTCAGGAAGAAAACTGTTACTTTATTGTAAATGATTTTTGTTACAGGTATATGTACATGCATAACTTTCATTGTAGTACATAGTAAAAGACATGAGTAGGAATGTGGAACAATTTGAATTCTTTAAAGGAGATATAATAGAAGTAAAAGTAAAAAGAATGAATGAGGCAGCAAAATCTGTGTGGTAGTCTTAGATACAATGAAACAGATGATAGGAAAAAACACAAGCATTTATATTATTGAACTTGAACTTTTCCTTGCCCTGTGGATTCACAGACTCCATGTTACATATTTAAAGGAAATTGAAAATATAACTGAATTCAGTGAACTCAGGATGAAGTTTACAAATTAGAGTGTGTACTTTAGTTAAATAAATAAATGTAATAGTAATATTCCTCATTAAATACTAATAGGCATCTCTTGGCATTTTTTTCCCTTAAATATGGGCTATTGCCTATATCACTTCATGTCGGAATACAAAGAATATAAATGTTTAATTTCTTTATATGGCACCCTTATGAAATTGATAACATTCACATATGAAGAAATCTGGGCTTGAAGAGTTGATGTGACTTTACTATAACCATTCATTACTATATTATTTGTTGGTGGATCTTGAGCCCTGAGGCCACATTTCTTGATAGAGCCTAATCCATTTTAAGCATCTAGCATCTGAGCCCACATTTCTTGATAGAGCCTGATCCATTTTAAGTTCATTCTTAGTTTAATGATTAAATCAGTCTTATAAAAAGAATGTTCTTTAGTTGTGTGATAATAAAGTGGGTGAAATAATTTCAAGGAAGAAAATATGTCTTGAGAGAATTTATTCCTTAATGTGAAAGAATTGACAGTAAGTAGGTGAGAGGAAAAATAGTATTTCCTTACTTTGTGTAAAAAGAGCTATTTGTATGTAGAATAAGTGTTTGTAGAAAGACAGTTGAATTCTTCAGTTATTATAGCTTGATACTTAGAAGACCCAGCCCCTGCTACAAAATTTGTCACATAGTAGATATTCTATGTTAGTTGTAATTGTTTCAGTTAAAAGCAAATGTTTATGGAAAATTTACACTGTTTACTTTTTAAATTCTATTTAAGTAAAGTGCACATGATAAAAATTATAATTCATGGCATTAAAAAGTTTAAGAAGCACATGCTGCTTTTTAGTCTTGCACTCAAGGGACAACGAAACTTAAATTTCTGGTCATCCTTTCAGAAAATGTGTGAGCCTATACAAGGATTTATTTATATCTTTCATAAATATTTACACAAATGGTATCATATTAAGCGTTTCGTTCTGCACCTTGTTTTAATAAATCTTACACATTAACTATTATATTCTGTTGAATCGTATGGATATATTTATTTGCCTGGTCCTTGTTTTTGCACACTTAAATCATGCCAATTTTTATTACAGTCGTTATTGAAACAAATATGTACTTTAAAATTTGTTTTTAGTTATTGTCAAATACTGCTTCAAAACAGTACCACTCCTCACTCCTACCAGTAGTGAATGAGTGCCTCTGTTTCTCCCTACCTGCAAGTATTGAGGAATTTGGGTGTTGGCAAATGTTAAAGTATTTGTCAAACTGCTACATTAAAATGGTATCTTATTATTTTAAATTGCACTTTTTATCCATGAGGTTGAGTAACTTAATAATTTATAGCCATTTTTATTTCTTTTTCCTTTTCCAGTTGCTTATGTACTTTTTTTGGTTTTTCTTGTTGGCTTGTGGAAACTCTTCATATGATAATTAGCCATTTGGCACATTTGTTGCAAATATTTTCCCCCACATTGTCACTTGTCTGTTTCTTCTTTGCTTGTTTTATAGTCTATATTAGGCCCTAGAGAAATCTTAGATTTTTACATACTCTTATTGGCATCTTTTATTGTGGCTTCTATATTTACTTGTTTAGATAGGTGTTTCTCTGTCAAAGACTCTCTATATATAAATGTAGATATATTTTCATCTAAAATTTATACTTGAATTTTGATTCCTGTGAAAGTTATTTTAGTTTAAGGAGTTTAGTTTAAGGAGTTTAAGGATGTTTTTAATTTTTTTCCACATGACTAATTATGTATCTGGGTAGCATTAATTAAATAACTCATCTTTTTCCAAGTGGTTTGAAACACCACTTTCATCATATGTTATGGTCCCATGTTTATTTAAGGTTGTTTCTGGACTCTCTTTTGGGCATTTGGCTTGTCCTCCTTCTTACCCTCTGTTTAAAATTATGTTGTGAGTATTTCTTCAACCAGTTCCTTAAACTGCTAATGATCCATTGGTGAAGATAAAAGTAATTTATTTGCAGTTACTAAAATTAAAACAGGTAGAAATTTTTGGTATAATATCTTCAGATAGAATTGGTTTTCCTAAGTTCTGTAGTTTCATGTCTCACCTTAGGCATCTGCCTTTGTATACCTGATGTCTTGTTGAACTTCTCAAATCACCAAATGAGTAGGATTCCTATTATTCTTATCATAGGTTGGTTTTAGGGAAATTTGCCAGTTTTATGTTCTAATATTTTTAGAAGGAAAACTCAAAGGTAATGAAAATGTTACTGTTGGATTAAAAAAAAAATTAAATCCAAATAGTAGTTAGGCAAGTTGGTGGGGTAGGGGCTTGCCACAAGAGTGGAAGT